ATCCACATATAAGCAAATTATGACTCATTTGCCATTTCTAAATTTACTATATATGCACTTATCTGACTCATTAATTCTAAAACCACTAGCAAGAACAATTTCATCAAACTTTTGGTGCCATCGTTTTGGTGCTTGGTTAAGTCCATACAAGGATTTTACAAGCTTACAAACCTTATGCTCTTGACCTAAAATGATAAATCATTCTTATTGTTCCATATATATTTCCTCTTTTAATTCACCATTTAAAAATGCCATCTTTACATCTATTTGATGTATAACCAAATAACCAATCAAGGCTAATGAAATTAGAACCTAATTGTAGCAATTCTAGCTATTGGAGTATAAATATCAAAGTAGTCTATTCCTTTCTTTTGTGTAAAGCCTTTAGCTATTAACCTTGCTTTAAATTTATCTATGGTTCCATCCACCTTTATTTTCTTTTTGAAAATCCATTTACAGCCTATTGGATTAGAACCTGGTGGAAGGTTAATCAAAATCCAAGTGTTATTTCCCATTATTGACTCTATTTTATCATTTATTGCTTATTTTCAAAAAGCAAGATCTTAAGATTTGATTGCCTCTTCATATGTGACAAGATTAGACATCGCATTAAAACAATAATGAATTTTATTATCTACGCTTTCATCAGTCCTTTCCATAAGGAATATAAAAAAATTTGGTCTAAAATCTTTTACCTTTATAAGCTTTTTGCTTGTCTTTATTTCTTGATAAGATTCATCATTAATTTTAGTTTATTCTAATGGATTTAGAATTTCTTTTCCATCTGTAGGATGAATTGCTTCTAGTTATCTCGAAATAGATTTAAATCTATCTTCATAAAAATTTGCATCTCTTGATTCAATAATAGTGTTAATTGAAATTAAATCATTTGGTTCAATAACCATGAACCTATATGCTTTACTATTTTGTGCATATCATATAAATATGCATTTTATTCCTCTTTTACCCAACCTTTTCCTTTTGTTTTCTAAAATTTTACCTATAGCTCTGCATCTCTAAACTTTTAAATAATTAAGATTTAGTTTTCTTTTCTTCTATTGTTTATATGAGGTTATTTTTGTTTCATTGTTAGGAATTCTATTTAGTATATGAAAAGCTGTTAATAAAGCTTCACCAAAAATCTTTGTCCAAGACCAGAATATGATAACATTGTATTTACCATTTTTTAAAAATCCCGTTCTTCCTTACAGCTACACAATTCTGTTATGGTGTATAAGGTATAATAACTTGGTGGATCATTCTGGTGGATTCAAAGTAACTTGGACTATAATATTCTTCACCCTTATCCAACCTCAAGCACTTGATAAAAGATTCACACTGAAGTTCAACTTCAAATTTATATATGGATTCAAAGTAACTTGGACTATAATATTCTTCACCCTTATCCAACCTCAAGCACTTGATAAAAGATTCACACTGAAGTTCAACTTCAAATTTATATATATTTTAAACTTACCAAGTACTTCATTTTTGGAATATAATAGATAAACATAATAATATCTAGTATAGTCTTCTATAAATGTTATAAAATATTTCTTTCCAGATAATATAAGAGTGCTATGCATGTCACAAACATCATCGTGAATTAACTTAAGTAACTTTGTATTTCTTTTAACCTTAGGAAAATGATTTCTGGTAATTTTAGTCAACATGCATGTATATTACATTTATTAATGTCTTGACTAATTTCAGAAATTAACAGAAGCTTACTCATATCATGCAATGTTCTATAGTTTAAATGACTTAATCTATAATGCCATGAATATGAAGATTCAACCATGTAAGTAGAAACAATATTCTTATTTTTTATTAATAATATTGAGTTTGAATATTCTCTCATACATATACCTTTTCCTAACAAAAATCTTTCCTTTAGATAGAATAAATTTATTTGTCTTAAATACAAGTTTAAAACCAAACTTGTTCAACAGACTTTCAGACACTAAGTTCTTCATAACTTTTGACACATAATAAACATCATTTAAAGTTAACGTCTTTTTCATAAGTGAATTTGAGGTCAACAGTCCCTTTGCCTTTAATTGTTGCTATAGAGGAATTTACCATATAGAAGACACTGCCATATTCACTTGGTTTGAATGTTGTGAACATGCTTTTGTCCTTGCACTCATATTTTGTTGCCCTAGAATTAACCCACCAAGATTCATCATTTTCAAGCATGTTGATTTTGAAAATCATGGCAACAAAATTTTTAGAAGTATCCCCTTTTGAGGAATCATTTTTCTTTTATAGCAACCAACATTCTTTCTTGAAATGTCATGGCTTGCCACAATGGTAACATGAGCCTTTCTTATTCTTTTTGAATTTAGGCTCATTAACAATCTATTTGAACTTGAACTTTTGTTTGTTAGGCTTTATAGTCTATCTTTCCTCCAAAACATGAACTTTAGCATCATTAGAATTGAAATTCTTGCTTTCTGTATTTCTTTTCAATTCCAAAATGATTAGCCAAAGCCTCAAGAGTGATTTCTTCTTTTTTATGTTTTAGACTTCTGTTAAAGTCATTCTATAATGGAAGAAGTTTGTATATTACGAAGGACATAATAATTATTTCATCCATACTCATATTATATTGTTTAAATTGATTAAGCATTCTTTCAATTTCATTTAGTTGTTCAATCACAAAATGTCTATCAACTATATAATAATTATTAAATGACTAATGAAAAATTTCTTACTTGTTGCATCCTCGGTCATATATCTGGTTTTCAATTTGTCCCATAACTCTTTTACAGTAACCTTATTTTGATATGTATCAAATAGGCTGTGAGACAGACCATTCAGAATATGGCTTTTACACCTATAGTCTGCAATATCCCATTTCTGACTCTCTCTTGTTGCAACAACAAATTCTTCTATTTCATTTTCTTCTAGCTTAGGAGTAGTAAGAACATATACAACCTTTAAGGTTGAAAGTAAAAAATGCATTTTCTTCTGCCATTTTCGAAAATTACCACAATTAAAATGATTTAATTTGACAAAACTACAAGCCAATTCCCTGAGTGTTGCTTTAGTAGCCATAGTTGAACCCAATAAAATCTTAAGATTATTAGAGCAAAGATTGAAAATCTGGAATTACTATTTTTGGTAAATTTCAAATTTTGAGAAAAAATTTCAACAAGTGTAATGGTGCCACTTTTCTTAAGGTTTTATTTGCTCCCACTGTATTATTTACTTAATATGTGTGTAAAAGGATTGCAGGTAATAAACTTTAAGTATACAATGAAGCCCAGTGACTGACTGCATTTTGCATTGATAAAATCAATCCACAGAGCAATCACTGGTATATCACAAAATTATTGAACTTTTGTAAAGGTTTGCTGCAACAAAACTTTTATAAAAGAAATCTAGAGTTTAAAGAAAGAGGAAAAGTTCTAAGAATTGTTTTTATGTATTTTTAGAAAACTAGAAAAGCCTTTTATAAACAGATAAATGTTCTTCCTGCAGACATAACTATCTATTTTGAATAGATAAAAACTATTTATTTTTGAACAGTTGAAACTGTTAATTTTGAATAGATTTATCTCTCTGTTTTGAACATACTTAACTATTTGTCTTTATTTTTTCTTTTCCAATATGGGATTATTTCCTATATGTTATTTTGAAAATCTCTGACATTCACTTAAATTTTCAATAAGTGAAACAAAAAATTTGAAGTATAAATATATTAATACAGCTAAAACACAACTCTTAAAACATAAATTTGAACACATAATTACTAAAGGTCAATATATATTTACTTAATTCATTCAAAACACAAAATTACAACCTGTTGCATGAAGATCAATATATATTTACTTAATTCATTCAAAACATAACATTGAAACCATTGCAAATTATTGCATATGGGTATCGGCTAAACTTTAGAAAAAAAAAAAAACTCAAACTTCAAACTTATAACAATTTAAAATGAAGAAACATATAGCATCAAACAACAAACAAATAGCCCACATGAAGTAGTAAAAGTTAAAAATAAATCAATGAAAACAATGAAAGCACATATGATATGAACAAGTTTAAGAGTAATAAATGCACAAACATTTGACAAACATAGTGCAACAGACAATTGAAAATGCTTATAGTCTTTTTTTATAATGCCTATTCCTTTAACTAAAGAAAATTGCATTGTGATTTTGTAGACACTCCAATTTATCTAGGGTTGTAACTATTTTTTTTAAGATGTTAAAAAAATGAAAAAAATAAGGAAAGTACAGCTTGGCTATACTTTTGCTCAGCTATCAAAACCATAGGAAGAAAAAAAAATCCAAATAGGTGTAAGTTTGAGAATCCTATAGGATTCTTTTTATATTAGGTAATATATATATATATATATATATGAATTTTTTTATATTTAACTTATCAGTATTATTATTTAGCCAATAATAAATATAATTTTCTTTTAAAATTAAAATTAAAAGCTATACTAACTAGGGTTGATAACGGTTCGGTTCGGATCGAATTTGATTTAATTTTTCAGATATTACATAATATTATAAAAATTTAAAATTTGATTCGAATCTGAACTGAATCTTCATTCGATCTGAATCGAATCGAATCAAATTTTACCTGTTTGATTCAGTTTAATTTATCGATTTTTAATTTTTATATATTATTTTAATATAAAATTTTAATATACTTAAATAGATTTTAATATAAAATTAATATTTTTATTTTATAAAAATTTAAAATATATAAATTAAATAAATATATAACTCAATTCGATTTGATTGTTTTAAGCTTTTTATCTCTCAATTTAAAATTTAATTTGAACTTAAGATATATTTTTAATATTCAAAATTATCTAAATCAAATAAAAAATTTAATGCAAATGAGCTAGACAATATAATTTTAAATTAATTTTTAGATTTTTTTTTTCTAACTGCTAGTACTAACCGGTAACTAATAAAGAGGCTAGTTGGCTATCCGAGTAGTCAGTCGGTCACGATTTAAAAACGACGTCGATTAGCTCGTTAATCCAATAAAAAGTTGCCACGTAACAAATCGTGATCACGGGCATTTAATCGAATCTATTTTTGATTTTCCTCCGGTGCAAAGAAAGAAAGAAAGAAAGAAAGCGGGCCACTTTCGTTGTCCTTGGCACCGCCGTTTCAAGTTTCAACAGTTGAACTTGATGAACCATGCTTATGGATCCATATCACATCTGTTTTGTTTTCGTTTTCTGTTTCGTGTAATCGTGGATTTAAATTGAAATTAAAAAATTCCAGCTTAGCGGTAGCTGGATAAAGATTGGGAATCACTGGAAATTGAAGAATGGCTACGCAAAACCAGATTCCTAACAACACTGATCTGTTCGATGCTTATTTTATGAAAGCGGATTTGGACGGAGACGGCCAAATCAGTGGAGCCGAGGCTGTTGCCTTTTTCCAAGGCTCCAATTTGCCCAAACACGTTCTCGCTCAGGTCATTTCCCTCTTTATTTTTATAGTTCTCTAACAAATGGCAACTTGCCTTTCTTCTTTAGCGGCCCCAGAGGCGTAGATCAAATTCGAGTCTTTCATCCGCCATTTTTAGGCTATTCCTCTTTAATTAGGTTTAGGAGCTATTAATTCTTGAAATTTTGGACTACATCAGATTTGGATCTAATCAATCTAGTTACTGCTCAGCTGAATTTTTTTGCCGTTTATTTTATTTTATTTTATTTGATTCAGTTGTTATTCCATATTTTTACTTCTTTATGTTGGCTAATATCTGGTGATTGAGACAAAAGGAGAACGAAGAACACTTACATTAAGCTTTATAATCCAATCTGATTTGAATGCGTAAGCGTCAGTGATTTTGTCTTTCTTTTAAACTGTCAGAAATAGCACAGATGGAATTGGTGTGTAATTTTTTTTTTCATTGAATATGAGCTGTAAAATATTTTTCAAAGGGTGCAAGAGAAACTGATATTTCATAACTATTGCAGTAAAAGCTTCTTTAGTTTGTAGTTATGTTATGGATGATGCACTACCTACATGCCTTCTTTGTAGTTATCTTTGTTCTTCAACTTAAGCATCATTTATGTTCAAATCTCATATGAGAATATTTAAGTGCCACTCAACAGTGTAATGCATGGAGAAAAAGGGGTACTCTTCTGGGGTTTCAGTAGATTGTTTCATATCTCTTTTGTTTTTGGAGAATTCTTGTATCTGTTTGGTTACAGGAAGCTCTTAGTATTCGGAAACATAATTTTTGTTTCATGGTTGACCTTTTGTCATGCAGGTATGGATGCATGCTGACCAGAAGAAACTAGGTTATCTTGGTAGACAAGAATTTTATAATGCCCTTAAACTTGTAACTGTGGCACAAAGTAAGCGAGAATTGACACCAGATATGGTAAAGGCTGCACTGTATGGCCATGCTTCCGCTAAGATTCCTGCTCCCCAGATAAACATTGCAGCTACACCTACACAGTCTAAGGTAGCATCACTTACTTCGCAGTCCAGTGGCACCCTATCAGTACCTTCTCAAAATTTTGGCCTCAGAGGAACACCTGGTCTTGGTAATGTGGGTGTAAATCAGCAGGATGTCCAATCACAGCAAAACCAGGTTATGAGGCCACCCAAAGCCATGCCTTCGAGCACTTTATCACAAACAAAACAAGTACTTGCAGCACAAGGCATGCTGAGGGGAGGTAACATGGTGTCTCCTCCTCATCTTCCAACTTCAAACTCCTCTACTAATTGGCAAAATGGAAGCTTGGGTGGCCTCACAGTGGCTGCCAATAACCAAGTTCTTAACCGAGATGTTAGTCCTTCCACAAGCCAAGATGGATTTGAACTTACAGCTTCAGGTTTGACACCTTCTATGCAACGAATGCCGCAAGCAAACCCTGGGCAGATATCCTCTACTGCTCCAAAACCGCAACATTCATCCATGTCATCCAGCCAGTTAGGAGCAAAGGATCCCAAAGCATTGGTGGTTTCAGGAAATGGGTTTGCCTCTGACTCTCTTTTTGGTGATGTCTTCTCTGCCACTTCATCACAATCAAAGCAAAATTCTTTGGCACCCACATCATCTGCAACTAGCTCAACAGTCTCAATGGTTTCTATTCCAGCTTCTGGGAATCCTTCTGTAAAGCCAAGCCCAACTGACTCTTTACAGAGTACACTTTCTCAACAACCTGTGGGTGGTCAGTATCATCCAGGTCATCCAACAGGGAAACAGAACCAGCAGGTTGCGATTCAAAGCAATGCTGCTTCTGGTTCAACTGGGTTTCCTGCTGGGCCTGGGAACTTGGCTTCTGGTAAATCAAATCAGTCTCAGCCCCCATGGCCAAAGATGACTCAATCTGATGTACAGAAGTATACAAAAGTATTTGTACAAGTTGACACTGATAGAGATGGAAAAATTACTGGTGATCAGGCCCGCAATCTGTTCTTAAGCTGGAGGCTCCCAAGAGGTAGGCTGTGAGTGATTGTTAGCTTTTATTTATCTACTACCAGCTCAATTGTGTTCATTAAAAAAAAAATATTTTTTGAAATGGTGATAGGGCAATGATCATGTGATCACTGCATGGATATAACTGGTGGATCTTGTATTTTGTTTTTTATTTACTTTTTGAACATTTATACATCATCTTATAAACTACCTATACTTCTAAAAATGAGATTCAATTTTATTATTTTAACTGGTCAATTGATATAACTTTTCTAAGGACTATCAATAGAAGTACCTCTATTCTTGGGTTCCTATTCTTTGAGTCTATTTAGAGTGGATGTCTCCTTATGAAATCTTGAACACATTTTTTAGTATCTTGAGAATTTTATGGCTGGTATTAACTGTAGAAATGAACTAAAAACCTTGTTGAAACTATGAAGAAAAATGAAAAAAAAAAAAAATCAAGATATTGAGGTCAAGGGAAAACAAGAGCTTGTGGTGAAGTAATAGGGCGCAAGCCAATAGGTCAGGGAGAATCTGAGTTTGTTCAGGATTTCTTTCTTTGTTTCTTTTGAAATTTCCAAAATGAAGAATAAAGAAATATTAAAAATTGCCTTGCATGAATTCTTAAACACATGATAGGTAGGTAGGCTGGTTGTTAAATGATAAATTCTACTACTGATCAATGAAATTATACGTCATACCTTTGTTCTTTATCACAACTAATTTAAAAATGCCTGACTACTGTATTCATTAGGTATAAGAGTGTTACACTAGGTTATATGTAATTTTAAGGAGGAGGAAAAAGAGGAAAAGTTGAAAAGAAGGCCAAAGTCATAAGTTATTTGGTGTAAATTAAGTTGAAACTTTAAGATTTCTTTTCTGGTCAAAGAGCTTTGGTCTCTCTTTCATTTCCAGTAGTAGTTTATGGATTTGTTAATCTCTCTCCCTCTTTCTCTCTCTCTCTCTCGCGCGCTGTTCTTGTTTCTTCTAATTGTCCTCTCCCTCATTCTAAAGGTAACCTAATCTCTTCGGTTTATATCAATCAATTTTGATTTTAAGAAATGTTGTTGATATAAGGCGTTGTTTGCATCAATCTTCAATGACTCGTTTTTTTCTATGCATTGGGTTACTCATTTTGGAAACCATTTAATAAAATATTTTCAATGGAAAAGTGTTGAAAAAGTTCTGCAGTTGAAACCTACTTAGTTCATTTGGTCAATGCTATTTAAATACTTTTTATTCCTTTTTTTTAATCATTTTTGTACATTAACCATTTGCTCTTTCCTTTTATTTTTTCTTTTACTTTATTTATTTCCTCTAAACTCTTATTAAATGTCTGCTCTTTATAAAATCCTATAACTCTTTTACATAAATATTTTTGTGTTTCTTTTAAAAGGCAATTGCCGTGCCATCTTATATAACAATGGTCAATCTGATATTACATATTGGTGTCTAGAGGTCTTAAAGCAGGTGTGGAACCTATCTGATCAAGATAATGACAGCATGCTTTCTTTGAGAGAGTTTTGTACTGCTCTTTATTTGATGGAACGCTATAGAGAAGGACGCCCTCTTCCTTCAGTGCTTGCAAGTACTAGCATAGCTGATGAAACTTTATGGTCAACCTCAGGTCATCCTCCTGCTCCATATGGAAATGCAGCCTGGGGACCTGCTCATGGTATTGTTTCCCTATCGCATCATGTTTATGCAGTGTTTTGCTCTTCCATGCTTTTCTTCATGGATCATCTCTCTTTACCAAAATATCTCCATTAGGTTTCCAGCAACCACAAGTTATTAGTGCTTCGCGTCTACCTTTACCTTCTGCTAGGGGAAGACCACCTAGGCCAGTCTTGGTTTCTCAGACTGATGCGCAGGTGCTGCCCAGTCAGCAAAAGTCCAAAGTTCCAATGCTGGAAAAGAACCTTGTAGATCAACTTAGCCAAGAGGAACAAGATTCTCTTAACTCAAAGTTCAAAGAGGCAACAGAAGCAAATAAAAAGGCACTTCCTCCTTTTTCTTCATGACTTGCTATGTTCTAGTATCATGCAAATGTGGAATTTATTGTAACCCTCCCCGGCCCAACATACACACCCAGCCCACACCCTTTCCGAGTTTTGGTTCATTTTGTATTTAACTGCTATGACATTTGTTTTATTTTTATTCTTCTTTTTCCCTATTCAATGCTGTAGATGACAAAATCTTGTGTTTGGGGCCATCACACACAAGGTTGGATATTGCATCTTTGTTTTACCTGTTCTTGAGAGACAGTTAATGTAACTGAGTCTATGCAATTGCTTGTGAAACGTGACATATTATAAATTGTTGTAATTTATTTTCTTCAGGCTCTATTTTCTCTAAAAATGCGTGGTATGTCTTGAAATTTATGTGTCTTCAGCTTCACTCCTTTTCCTTTTAAAGGTTGAAGAACTGGAAAAGGAGATACAAGATTCAAAAGTGAAGACTGAATTCTTTCGTGCTAAGATGCAGGAACTTGTGAGTATGCTCCTTTTGTCTTTAAGATTAGAAAACTGATTGTGAGGCCTTTCATCATTCCAACCATAGTTCCCCCCTTTGGGATTGCACAAACCCTAATCTAGTACTTTTCTAGTTTGCGAAAGACATATGAATGCCTTGGGTATCTTTGAACTTGTTAAAATGCATATCTTTTGGTGTCCTTGATGTTGGGTCTTCAGATCATTAATTTTATGCCCTTTTCATTTCCATCCATTGCCACTTGCAACAGATTTTATATAAAAGCAGATGTGACAATCGACTTAATGAGATTATGGAAAGAGTCTTAGCTGACAAACGAGAGGTATTTTTATTTTTTCCTTGTTCCACAATTCAATTGTACTTCCCATGTGAATTTTTGTTGTTGGGCAGCTGAATTATTCTGTGTTTTAGGTTGAAGTATTGGCAAGGAAGTATGAAGAGAAATACAGGCTGTCTGGAGATGTAGCCTCTAGGTTAACCATTGAGGAGTCCACATTTCGCAATATTCAGGTTTTCAGGAATTTCTTATGTTTTTGAGTGATAGCCAATGGGTGATTGGCTTGATAGGCGTGCTTGAATTTTCTTGTGGTTTGTTTTAATTAGAAGTTTCTGTTAGACTGACTTGGTTCACTTGCAGGAGAGAAAAATGGAATTGTACCAGGCGATTGTCAGAATAGAACAAGGAGACAAAGATGGTGCTCTCCAGGTTTGATCTGATTGTAATTAATTAGATTCAGTCATGGAGACTGTGAAACTTGTCTATAAGAGCATACTTTCTGTTGGCTTGTGCAGGATCGTGCTAATCATTTACAATCAGGTCTTCAGGAATTAGTGAAATCTGTTAATGAACGTTGCAAACAATATGGATTACGTGCTAAACCGACTTCACTGGTTGAGCTTCCATTTGGTATTATTTCCACTTAGTATCTGTTTGTTATATCTATTATATATATGTCAGTCTGGGTTCATCTGGTTGATCAATTTACTTCTTCCTTCCTATTCTACGATCTTGCCTGCCAAGAGAGTTCCTATTCAGAAATAAATTCTGCAAAAGCTATTTTTGCAGTTTTCTGTTTAAGCTACTGTTCTTTATATCCTCTGGAAAGTGTTATTATGTGATTCAAACATAATCATGTCAGACTTTTTAGTTGCCTTCTTACATTAATCTGTGTTGAGCTGAAAATGCTTGTAAGGTTCCTCTCATTTTTCTTTTTTAATCCTGTAAATTTAAGGTATCTAGATTATTTTAATTGGTTTTGTTTTCTGAACCAGACTACTTTTTTTTTTTTTTGAAGACTTTTATTATCCAACAAATCACGTGTGTTTCTTATATAAGCATATCCCTGAAAGATTTTTCACTTTATTGTTAACTTTTTTAAGGCTGGCAACCTGGAATCCAAGAAGGTGCAGCTGATTGGGATGAAGATTGGGACAAGTTTGAAGTTGAAGGTATGTGCCTGCAGGGCATTTGTATTTTTTGATGTCCAACCTAAAGTGTTTGGTAAACCACATTCAATAATGGACTTTGCATGTCCTTAACATAATGTTACTCTTAATGTGAAGAATTTGATATGGTGCTTTCTTCTGAATATAGTGTAATCTATATACAATTCTGATGAATCATCAATTATGCTCCTTTCAGGATTCATATTTGTAAAGGAGCTCACTCTTGATGTGCAAAATGTCATAGCCCCTCCGAAACCAAAATCTTTATCACTTCAAAGAGAAACAGCTTCTGCAACTGCTGCTGATGATAACTCAGATAAGGTTCCAAATACAAGTGAATGGATCCCTGAGAAAGACTTGGCAACTGACAAAAGTGAGGATGGCCTGCCAAAAAGCCCCTCTGGAAGTCCAGCTGTTGCAGCAGATAAGCAATCTCAAGAATTCCAGGATTCCCATGTGACAAAGAGTAGTGGTGCTGATGGTTCTCCCCATCCTCAGAGTACAAGTGATCCTTATGAAACTTCCCGTGCAAAGAAAACTGGTGATGTTGATGGCTCACCTCTTGCTAAAGAATCCAGAAGGTGTGTTGTTTACTTTGCAATTTTATTTAGTTCGCAAACTACTCTTCCTCCTCCATGCTATGTTTTCTGGAACCTCCATATGGTTGTGCAGTAGGGATTTTTTTCCCTTTTTCTTTCTTTAAGTCTTTGATGTTTAATTTAAGGTGTCTTCACTAATTGGTGATTTGCTTGTACAGTGCTGAATCTTTATTTTCTGAAGACAAGAGTTTTGATGAACCTAGCTGGGGCAGATTTGACACTCCTTATACAGATTCGGTTTGGGGCTTTGACAATGAAAGTGGCAAGGTATATGAAATTTTAATCTAGTAGCACTTATTCAGATTAGATTGTAGGTGGTTTTCTTTCTTAAGTCAAACCGAGAGATTGAAAGCTACTTTCTCTATTTGGAGCTTGGGGTTTTGTAGTTACTTTTTTGTTTCAGTTTTGGGTTTCTTAATTACTTTTTTGTTTCAGTTTTCTACTGTCAGTGAAAAAAAATATATTATGTTTCACTTATGATTGAAAATTTTTTTGCTTGGTTTTTTGGCCAAGGCTGAGTAGTGTCCTACTATTTTTTTAGTTTAAAATCACAGACAGACCATTTCCCATCAAATTAGTTTATCAAAGGAAACTTTATATTGTTTTATATCTTTACTTGGATGTAAAGTTTTATTGTTTGTCTTGATTTCAATGTTTTTCCAAATTGATGATGTTTGTTTCTGAAAAGATTTGTCAAAATTGTATTAAGAATCACAAATTGGTCTAAAGAAAACTTCTCTTGCAGGAGATGGATCCTAAGAGAAATAACGATATCTCTATATTTGGTCTTGGTGACTTCAATATAAAGCCCATAAGAACGCAGTCCTCACACACAGAAAAGTTGTTCCCAGGTAAAGGCCCGTTTACTTTCACTGATTCTGTTCCAAGCACCCCTTCCTACTCAGGTGACATGTTCCATGGGAAGAGCTCATCTATTTTTGCAGATTCTGTTTCAAACACCCCTGTTTATACAGATAACATGTTCAAGGGGAAGAGCTCCTCTGTTTTTGATGATTCTGTTCCAAGCACTCCTGCCCATGCAGAAAACTTGTTCAAGGGGAAGAGTTCATCCATATTTGCAGATTCCATTCCAAGCACTCCTGCCTATGCAGACAATATGTTCAAGGGAAAGAGCTCGTCTAATTTTGCTGATTCTGTTCCAATTACACCTGCTTATCACTATGGGAGCTCCCAGCGGAGGTTTAGTGAAGGATTAGAAGATCACTCATTTGACAGCTTCTCTAGGTCTGATTCATTCAACATGCAAGAAAGTGGCTTCTTTCTATCCCCCTCCCTGGATAGGTTTGATTCCATTCGCAGCTCAAAAGATTCTGCTCAGGGTTATGGGTTTCCCCCATTGAGGTTTGATTCTTTTAATGGAAATGATCAACCTGACAGTGGGACTCTCCAATCCCCTCGACATTCGCTAGCGAGGTTTGATTCTATGCGAAGCAGTACAGGCTTTGAGCATAGTCACGAGTTTACATCATTTGATGATACTGATCTATTTGGGTCAACTGGGCCATTTAGGACATCACAGGAGAGTCAGACCCCGAGGAGAGATTCTGGTAATTGGAGTGCTTTTTAGTCAAGTAATATATATAAATGCAATTAAATCGGCTGTCTTTCTTTTCATGTTAAAGCCTTGTAGGTCAAGATTTTGCTCTCTTGTGTGGTGGCCTGATTCTTTCATTAGTACATAGCAACTGATAAAGGATTGATTGTGCGCTTTATTTTTGGTCCGCGTGTTATTTTGCAAATGTCTTTTCTTCCCCTTTTTGTTACTTTGTCCTAGTTCATTTTCTTTCCCTCTGCCGTGTTGCCTCGGCTTTTCTCTTTTTGGACAGTCTGGACGCAAGCAGTATTCTTGTTCCCAAATAGTTAGTGGTAATCATTGTATTTGATATGGAACGTAAAATTTGTACAAACTCGTTGCTCATGCACTTTTCCTGGTTTTTTTTTACCTTTATATTTGCTGAATGTTTCTAATGTAGCGGATGATTTTGTGCAAGTGGCCAACTAACACAAATGGCGACTTGAATATATCTAATTTATTATACAGTATTCTTCTGTTCAGATTCCAATTGCAAGTTGCAATTGATTATTGCTTACAAGCATTAGTTGAGAAAGGGGAGGTAGGACTGCTATTTTGAACGAAGGAAAAGGATAGATGTATAGGAATAGGAAGGACATGCGTTTGTTTGCCACTAGTAACTCATGCCGAGGATGAGCTTTGCTTTTTGAACCTCATATCTGGATTAAACTTTGATGTCTTATCAAGAATGACGTTTGTTAGATTTTAAGTATAAAAAAAAAGTTGCAGAACAAGATTGATTTGGATATGGAGAGTTGGTTGCAGAGGCGCTTCTTGTTTTCTCAGACGGATAGGATGAGATGAGATGGGCCGTTGTTTCACTTGCTTCTTAGATTGAGATCGCCGGCAGTCGGTGCTAATAACTGTAAATGTAATTAATTTTTGGTGGATTTTGAGAGATCTAACTAGGAAATGATACTATCATTCTTTACTCTGCAATTTAAAAGGGTATAAAGAGAAGCTTGAGCAATTAGTAGTATTGTTTTCGAAAGGAACATAATCGTACAACTCACCTGTTTATTCAACTTTTAAAAGCAAAGCAACGTATATAAAATAATCGAGGGGAAGGTTGAGATATTGGTTTCTTCTTTTGTCGTTCTCCATTTGCAGCATTTGGGAGTAAAATTATAAAATGCCATCTAAAATGCACATGATGAGATGAGATGATATGAAGGGGCAGATTATGTCGAGTGTTTCACTTAAAAAAAATGTAACTAAAAACGTGAAAGGAGCGAGGATATATAAGACCAGCCACCTATCTTCAATTGTTGAAGACAAGTAAAAGGATTAAACACAGACAACTGAAAAATGATTAGGAAAAGGAAAATGCAATTGTCAGGACTAGGTCATATCAATGGTGATCAAAGAACATGAAAGGTGAAATTTAAAATTCAAGCTACATTTTGGTTCTTTCTACTTCTCTTCAGCCATTCTCTTTCTTGACAACGA